GCTATATCTTGGAAATCTTCTAAACAAACCGTTATAGCTAGATCTACCATGGAATCTAAGTTTATAGCTCTAGATAAATGTAGTGAAAAGGTTGAGTGGTTACGCAACTTCTTAGAAGATATTCCAAGATGGTCGAAACCATTATCGGCAATTTGCATACATTGTAATAGTCAATCAGCAATTGGAAGGGCATAGAGTAACATGTACAATGGTAAGTTTAGACATATACGTCGTAGACACAATACCATAAGGCAACTACTCTCAACAGGAGTTATCTCTATAGATTAAGTAAAGTCAAATGATAACATTGAGGATCCACTAACCAAATGGTTAAATAGAGAGTTAGTTGGAAAATTATCGAAAGGAATGACACTTAAACCCTTGAACTTATAAGTTAATATAAAGAAAATCCAACCTAATTGATTGGAGATCCTAAGATCTAGGTTCAAAGGGACAACCTAATTGTAAAGATTTAATTGAATCACTGTGAGGATGTTACCTCATGTTCATTCCTATGATGCAACAGTGATGCCTGTAAGGATGAAGAATAAGCAATAAGGTTTTACCGATTCTTATGCGTCGAAAATAGAGCGAAGTAATGTGGTTACTTGGAATAAGAAATCACCTATATGAGAGAGAAGTTGGGCCGCTTCTAAGAGAATTATGTGGGGCTCAATTTTTAGGAATTCTCGCAAAACCAGACATATGTTCATGGCCAAAACGAACATAACAATGATAACTAAATTGTGTTAAGAAGAATCCTGTGTAGAGCATATCATCTTTTACATAAAAAGCAGAATAGTTCAAGGACATTGTGTCTACTGGTCAGCTAGTAAAGTAAATATACTTTCACAAGGGAAAGTTCAAATGGTAATACTTACCTATCCTATGAAGGTTTCAACCGTTGAACTTTATCACCAAGTTTTTATCTCTTCTTTTTCTATATCTCTCAATTTTCATTCATGTGGGGGATTGTTAGAAAATGAATATAATGACTAACTTTGGTATAAATTTTGAGTCAAACCCGTTTAGTTATTTTGGAAGATCAAGATATGAGAACATCGAAATCATATATTTACTTGTCAAAAAAGATGTTCAGGTGAATAAAAATTGGAGCTCAAATTAATGCATTGAAAAATATTTTGTGTTTAAGGAAAATTAGTTTAAAGTTATCCCACATAGGAAAATAGATAAATGCATGACTAAATAAATATGATTGTACTTTAGAAGAGTGTAATCATATGTAGTATAGAGGCTATCTCTACGTGCGCACGCGGTGAGGTGCAAATCAAGGACCGAAATAGGCTTCGGACCTTGAATTGTGTGCGGGCGCGACCTAAGTACACGAATATCGGACCGAATTGACAAAAAAATGGCCCTTAGGAGAGTCCACGTTTTGCCTTTATTTTATTTTTCCTAAAACCTTTTAAATTGTTTAACTCTTGAAATTCATATAATTATGCCTGTGTTAATGGAGAAATTAACAACCAGATTAATGGTGGTTAATAACATAACTCTTGGTTGTTAAGTCTCCTTACATTCTATTTATTCAGCCATTTTCTTCCATTGCATACACACGGAGAAAATTATTTTTCTACATATTTTTCTAGTCTGCATATATAATTAATTTTTGTCAAAATTAATTGTCAACTAATTAATTGAACCTAAAAATATCATTTCCTGATTAATTTGGCAACTAGTTAATTGAGACCAAAATATTATTTTTATGTTTTCAGCCCAAACTAAACTTTGTAATTCAAATTTCAAAGAATTAAAATTGACTAATCTAAGTTTTTCTCAATTATTCTGCAGTTTCTCCAATAATCGAAGTTGAGTGGCTGTGCCTATATTCATCTTACTTTTTTTTTCTACCCTATTCATTAAATTTCATTTACTTTGATCAAAATAAGTTTCATCACATTCATTTGTAATAATTTTTCATACTCATTGTATAAATATTATAATTTATGATTAGTTTTCAAGATATTTATTGTGAGCTCGAGCATTTGCGTATTTTCCTTTCACTCAGTAGCTACCTTCCTTAATGTATTATTTATTTTCACCTATTTTTACTGAATATTTTCACATTTCTTTTGGTATGTCTTCCATATTGAACATGTCATTAGTTAGATTAATGTCGTGTTGTTGTAAATGTTAGAAAAATTAATTATGCTAAAGTTCCAAAAAAATTTAATCGATTCAATTATCTTTAGAACCGAACCAAATTGGACTATATTCGGCCCTAATAATGGCAAGCAATAAATAACTCATCGGTCCATGTGATTTCAAATTATTCGTTTGTGATGCAATTTAGATGATACAGTGAGTCGATGATAATTTTGAGATAAATTTGTGTGTATGTACATATTATGTAGACATTTTATTGGAATTAGTTAATGGATTACAATAAAACATATAAATTTCTTCAACAAATATTAGAAGCATGCAACAACATTGAAATATAACTATGTAATGTAATACAATTAATACCTCCTAATAAATATTACATGATACCAAATATAATATTTGAGTTTAATATTGCGTGTTAGTAGGCAATTTACAAACACGTTGAGCAATCCTCCTCGAGCGACAAAAAAGTTGCTTAGTCTCTTTTAATAATTGTCATTGGGACCTAAACACCTTCATATGCAAGATTGTCTTGAAATTATAAATAATCGATCAAAAGTTGTCGCTGAAAATGGAAAACAGTTTTTAAATTTATTTGAATAACTTTTTTATAAGTATTTTATCTAATTAGAAGAATTTCTTATCTAATTTATAAGGATTCATTTGGCAAAGCTTTTGAAACGTTAAAAATTGCTTTTCAATTTGTTTGAATAATTTATTGAAAATATTTTGTTTGATTAAAAGAATTTTTAGAGGAAGTTGACTTAAATAATTCATCTAGAAGTGAAAGCTCTGCCAAACTGGCCTAAGATAAATGAGAGAAAACAACCACAAATTTTCCCTCTCCATATCTTTTATGGAGGTTCTTGAGCCTCATTTTTTTTAAAATTCATTTTTTTCAAAACTCATTCTCAATTATACATTTTTCAATAAAAATAATATTACATGTAAATCGAATTTTTTTCCTTAATTTTCAACTATGCATTCTCCAAAATTTACTAATCAAAAATGTATTTTTTTTCTCTCGAAACGAGGCTCGGACAAGGGCATAATATAAGTTCATTATGTATATTTTAATAGTTTCGTTTATGATAAGGTTAAAAATTAGATTAGTGTTATTTAGCACAACTGATATTTAACATCAATTTAAATGGTAACATTATTGCCATTAAATTACATGTTCAATTAAATATAAAGAATTATAACCCATTTAGTAGAATTTATGATACATTGACACAGGGGTGGACCCACAAGGGTTCATGTGGGGTCACATGACCCCACAAATAATTTGAGTTTTTTTTTTAAGTCATAACTTGTGAGAGAAATAGTACATGGAGAGAAAGAGTCCATTCAGTGAGAATATTATATTATTTAATCAATTAAGTGGTGTGTAAGAATTATAAAAATTCAAATTTTGTTCAACAATTTGATCTTATAAACTATGTCATTTGTCCTAATATTGTTTTATATTTTTACCATCATTAAATTTATGGTCGAACTTTATTTGAGATTGAATATTTCATTTTGTTTATTGGTTTACTGAGTTTTAAGCTCATAGATTAGTTAGTTAAGAAAAATATGAATACATATTGCATACTTTAATTTAATGGCCCAAATTTAATGGACGTTTCAAGCCCCCAAAAACTCCGACCTCGATTAAATTTCATCTACACTGAACAATATTCTTGGTTCCACCCCTAAATATTTGCATGTGTTGTTACAATTTGTTATTTTCTTGTAGCATTCATTGGATATCACACATTTGAGATTATCGTTGATGACAATATTCTTCTTTCACTTGAAAAATCCAACCGACTTGTTGCAATGACTAACATATTCGTTGTTGTTCATGTATTGAAAATTATTAGGTAAATCTTTTTGTTTTCGAAAATTTCCTGCTTCGATTTGTTCAACGAGTTATATTTTATCGTGTTTATTCATTTTTAGTTTTTGAAAAACTCATGTATATGTCATGCCAGTGTTTGACATAATAGAAACTTGGGGTGTAAGGCAAGGCACGATTGAGCACCAATGACTGAAGTTTACTGTCCTTGGAACGCCTGAGTTTCACTCGAGCGTTCTTAATTTTTGACCCCACAGTAAAAATGGTCTGGGTCCGCCCCTGCGTTGACACCTAAACTAGTATTTAACACTACCGATGTTAGATCAAGGAGCCTTGGTTGTTCCAAAAGAGTTCGCAAGGGCCAGAGGGAGTCTCGCTTAGGTTGATGCTTCGTTAGCAATCTATATTATTGGGCAAATCATAATAGTTTTGTGTTTTAGCATAATCCTCGACAATAACTACTCAACATGTCTCTGTGTAGAAGTTTGTAAACAGTATTATACGTCATAATAGACAAGATCAAAGACATTCATTATACAATGTTAAATAATATAATAAACAATTACATTTTACCGTTTCTTTGAATATTGCCGTGTCCATATAAGCACACGGCATTGACTAATTGTATTTTGTGAATGAAAATGGATGTCAATGTCCGAATAATAATTCAGTCATGTGTTATGTACTCTTGTCAGATAATGATTGAAGTAGACAGCAGGGATTTTCTAATAATTGATTTCAAACTATGGTCTCGCTCTTTCGTATTGATCCAAGTTTTAGTAGAGCTGGGCTGTAAAGAGATTTCAGTTAAAATCTAGAGAAAATTACGTAATTCCAGGGATTTAAAGATTGAAATTCAAAAATCAGGTATCAAGTTTCATTATTTAAAAATCAGATAATATATAAAACCCCTAACCCTAATTTTTCGCTCTCGACTCCCTCCCCTCTTCCCTCCCTCTCCTCTCATCTCCTCTCATTCTCTCTACATTTTCCCTCGTTTAACGGCACCACCGGAAGACGTCACTGTCCACTAAGTGATGAAGCCGCTGTAGTAGCGGCACTGTGCGGAGTCCATCGTTCCCAGTGGCGTCGAATGCGACGCCGATGCTGATGTCGTTCCCAGTGGTGCACCCGCCGCCGCTGCATACAATCGCGCGTAGTGTAGCCGTAGATCCGTTGACTCGTGAGAAACTTTTATCTATTGCTATCAATTTCAGGATCAGCTCCCCTTACAGCTGTACAATTGCTTTGGGTCAATCTGATTAGGGACACTTTAGGCGCACTTATACTAGCCACATGAAGGATTGATGAAACAGCCTCCTGTTATGAGGATTGGAGGTTTCATTACCAGGACCATGTGGAGGAATATTCTTGGTCAAAGCATTTATTAGTTGGATGTTCTTTTAGTCATCAATTTTGTTGGGAAGAAGTTATTAGGGCTTAGTGGTCCTTCAGATTCGTCAGATCGCTAGTCAAAAATTGGAATCGAATGCCCAAATCAAACAAACCCTAGATGAGTTGGGCAGCAACAATTGGTGTCGTCAGCAGCAACGATATTTGGTGGTTGTGTTGTTTTCAATTTGTAAATGGTTGTGTTTTAGTGGTGGTTGTCGTGGTGAGGGGTGGTGGTGTTGGTGGTTGTTCAGTGGTGGTGGTGGTGAGATGATAGTCGTGCAGGTTGTTTGTTGGTGGCGAAGGGAGTGATGGTGGTTGTGACTGTGATGACGGTAGTGTTATGTCTCTCTGTTGGTGTAGGATCTTGTGGTGGTGTGATGTGGTGGTGTTGGCAAGAGGTGGTGGTGAGTTTGTGGTGGGTTGTGTGATGTGGTGTGGTGGAGGTGGTTGTCAGTGGCTTTGTTGGTGCTTTTGCAGCGTGGTTAAGGTGGTCGAAAGTGGCCATAGTGGTAGTGGCTGTAGTCTGTGACCAAAAGTTGGTAATCTGTGACCAAATGTTTGGTAATTTGTGACTAATTACTTAACTGTGATCTAAAAATTTAATAATATATGACTCAAAAATAATCTGTGACCAACTAATTTAAAAATCTGTGACCTCGAAATAACCTGTGATGTACAAAATTTTTAATCTGTTACCTCGAAATAATATGTGATCAATCAATTTTAAAATATGTGACATGTGACCTATAATTATGTATATGTGACTATTAATTATATAACTATGATTTTATTATATTTAATTAATAAATTTTTTTAATTAATTAACTAAAAACCTGATTTTTGCATTAATCAAACTTAAAACCTGATTTTTGAATTGTATATAGTTAATACCTTACTTTTGAACTCTTCCCTAAAATATAAGAAGGACCAATTCAACAAATTTTGCATAATTTCAAGTTATAAATTAAACCAGCAATTAGTGAGCTTTGCTCAAGAATTATAAGCAAATTGGTTCTTTACACAAGTATGCATTAGTAGTGATGCCTAGAGGCGTCTACAAGCCCACCCTCGGCCGAGCACTGGCCAATTATGTAGACATGCCATGCTACACTCGGCTGAAAGCATAAATTGAAGAAATCCTGCTTAGCATGAGCATCACAACAGATATTGTGTTGTTATCGATGAAATTATCTGCTCAGCATGAGCATCGCAAAAGTTGCAAACATTTATCTACATAATTTAAACAACGATCAAAGTTCAAAAATTAGCACACAGCACAAACCCTAAAACATTATAGTCGAATAGGTTTGTAATTCCATATACATCATCAGTAGAAACTCAACCTTGATTGATCCATCCTCTAATTGCATATCTTTAGTAAACCATTGGTTGCATTTTCGTCGGAAGATGCAGGGAAACATGTAGTGTTTAGGTCTCTAGTCCCGTAATATTGTAATTCACTTTGCAAACAATAAAGGTCAAACCCTGATATGAGCCCTCCATTTAAACCCATGTTAGAATCTGCACATAAATATAGTCGTTTTATCTGGCTGTTGTGAACACCTACTTTTTCTCCAATCAGGTTTTGATTGCTCTGTCCCTCGTGTTTAGTTGCTGTGATCTTTCTGTCTTAATTCCTGCAACATCTTGACAAAAGTGACAAATTTATCACATAAAAGCTCGACTCCTTCAGACTAGACCATATTCTACATCCACCTTATTGCCCAAAACTTCGGCTCCAAGTCGTCAAACACATTTTTCTTGCTGATATATACAAAATATGAACCTCCTGGTTTTCTTCATAATAACTGACAAGCTTGAATATTCATATCATGATTTAGGAAAACTATTATATTCCCAAAATAGTTTTCCAAAAAGTTTAATCCATCAATATGCTCAATAGAAGCTCCACATAACGAATTGAGCACAGCAACTACGATTCTCCAAATTGGTCCTCTTTAATAATTTCAATCACTGAACAGCCACATAAAGCAATTTCCAAGGAATTTCAATTATCAGTTATATAGCCAGCTTACCAGATAACACATTTGCACATCTTCCTGTAAAGGTGATCTATGTATGCCATAACAGGCAATTTAAAACTCTACAGATTCAGCAGTTTTTCTAACCCAATCAATCTCTTGCCCAGCCGCACTTCATGGATTTCCAAGAAAAAGAGAAGTACAAAAACAAAATTACTACTAAATATTATCCCAAGCTAATACTCCACCATCCTCGATGTCAACAGAGCTATTTACTCTGCTGCCAATTATTCGAAGGGAAGGACAGGCCATGCCAATTATAACCAGTGCTCAATTTTAAGCCAATTTGAATGGCATGTAGCAAATCAACAACTATCTACAGGCCTGTTTCCACTCCCATACCTAGTTCTTTGGAGCTTATTTAGCAGTTGCCAACCCCGAATTAGGGCTGGACACTGTAAGACTAACCTTAATTGGTTGCCATCCTGACTGATAATTATATATAATCCACCTTTTCATCTTTATTACCATGTGCAAAATCTGTAGAACTTCACCCAAAGCAAGCTCTTTTAAGCACATCTTTTTCATTACTGTAGCTGCCTCGTACCTACAGAGCAGACGAGGATTGAAGAACATGAGATGGATTAACTATAAAATAATTTATCCATAAAGTAGAAATAGATTACAGAGCCATGCTAGTTGTACAACCGAGGTTGACAACCACTCACATGGAGGGTCTACTTTTTTTTTTTTTTTTGAATTTTTTAAACGTGCGGACCCCGCACACACGAGGTTGACAACCTCGATTGTACAAATAGAATTTTCCCAAATTACAGACTATAAAAATAACATATAAGCAAAATATAACTTGATGAGAACTGCAAGATTGTAATTTACCTGCACTGAGTACTCAGTATTGCAGATCGTCCAGCAGCAGATGACAGAAATTTCTGAATTTTGTCCCATGTCACCTTTGGGTACTGCATTGTGTTGCCATCCATTGCGTTCACGCATTGCCATAGTTTATCATTTTTTTTAATATACAACTGCAAAGATCTCAACTTCTGCTGTACTACCATCTGCTGCTCAACGGCACTCATTAGAGCCTTCTTAACATCAGTATTACGATGTCGTGGATCTCCATATCTAATGCAATCAGCAATGTTTTCCTCTGTGGGTACAATCTTCTCATTCTTAAGGGTGTTCAGAGCAAACAGAATGACCCCAATAAGGCCTTGAATATAGTCTGGTGTCCCCCATAGACCATTACTAGACATAATAGTAGTTTCCATCCCAAAAGATGGTGGCGGAATTTCTTGACTGCCACGTGGGTACCCGTTGATCTGCGCCTCTTGATAAAATGGAGGTTTCTTTTGAGCATTATATCCTTTGTGGGGACTGTTTGAGTTTACGCGGTTGGCAGACTCAATAGAAGTTGGTCTTCTCTCTCCTCCATGCCATGGTTGCGAAGGAGGAGGATTGCGATCATTTCTGGGGTATTCAGAAATGTTAAAATTACCAATATCGGGTGCATATTTTGGAGGACCTGATGTAAAGCTGGCTGCATCAGGTCTGTGGGGCGCTAAATGAGGCGGTACGTGCTGATTAGTTGATGGGAAACTAATTGGTGGATGAGGATAGCGGTGTTGATAAGAACCAGGGGGGTGACTGCTGTGACTCGAAAAATCAGGATTACCAGATGTAAAATTAGGAGTGGATCCTGGTCCATTTTCAGGAACTTTCGGATTATAAGTACCAGAAAAATCCTGGGAATCATTGAACTGCATCGGGTGCCTATAGGTCGGTTGACGGAAGTTGGCCTTGTTATAATCTTCTTCAATTCCTATTGCACTTGAAGTTCTTGATGTATTAGGTCGACTTGTGTTTTTACTAATCTGCTTTCCTTTATGTTTTACGTCATTCCCTCTTCCCATATTCGAGAATTTTTGATTTCCCAATTGGGGACTACCATGAGAAGAATCATCGGGCTGGTTTGCATGAACAGAATTAATAACTGGAACTTGTAATGAGTGAGAGCCAGATAAATGACCGTAACCATTATTTAGAGTCTGTGCAGAATCATCATTCGTAAGTGGTGGCCCTCCAGCTGATAGACTTGTCCAGAGCCATACACTCTTTGCAGCAGCAAGAAGCGGTGCGGACGCTTTTTGAGGTTGTGCCAGAAGAATGTTATATCGACGCATGCGTAACTGGTGGAGAGCATTTGAGAAATCTCGGTCTCCAGAAATTAACAAATAATTAGCAGGTGCAGGATTGTCAACTGCCCAAAATAACATATCCACCAAAATCTTCTTGTCACTAGCATCTTTTACACCTAACCACGATAAATTCAATAATCTAGTTAAACCAACTTATGAATGCGTGAAGAAATTCGTAAGAAAAATAGCAGTGAAAAGATCTATTGAAGTTATTAATTTGAGATGAAAGCACCGACATTTATCACCCATGAATGGTCTTCACTGAAAATATTCAATCATACATAAAAAAAATTTGGAGGCATACTCACAAGACACGGGATTGCACCAAGACATGAACCTACTACCAAAGATCTAGTAGCCACAAAATATTCATGCACCCTCACAAGTGAACGGAGAAAGAGAAAGTATTAGGCTAAATCACGATGTAAGATTAACTCATTAACACTTGTAGAAATCTTTGGGGGCGATTATTCATCATAACCACGCTAGCACCACAAAGGTCAGCAGATCTCCATGTTCAAAGAAAAAACTCAAATTTAAGCAAAAAATGGCAGCCCGATTTCACTCTATTCGCTAATCCCGTCCCCCCATCTGACGCACAAAACTCGTCAAGATTCAATATTTGACACTTCAAGATCAACAAAATTGACAAACCCAAACTAAAAATTTCTGAGATTAAAACTCAACCGGTAGAATCAACTAATTACCACTAAAAAACTAAAAATAACCTCCCCGAAATCATCGTTCCACCCGCTCCATCTCAACTCCTCTCCACAAAATTCATAAAAAAAAAGATCATAAACATTAAGACATAAAAACATCGATGTATACATAAATTAAACGTATACACAGACATATATAGATAGGTACCTGCAGGGACGTGATTGAGGGCGATGCCGGTACTATTAAGCGCCTGCTGAACGGCGGGGGATATATTGGTGGTATCACCATACGCTGAAATAGAAAGAGACCCGCAGTAGTTTATCTTAACAAGAGCTGAGCTTATATTCTGCGCAATCGCGTGTGGATCGCAATTCTGCGGCACCTGACAGTTCTCGATGTCCCACCACACCGAAACCTTGGCCTTCACGTACTGCTCCTCTGCCGCCTCCGCCTGCTGCGACTGCACCCCGCCTCCGCCCATATTCTTCGATTAGATTAAACTAAAACCGAGTTATTTTGTGTGATCGTATGGATTTATTTACAGTGTAGTATGAGGGTGGACTGGGCTAGACGTTTAGTTGACGGAGAAAAGCGCACGATAGCATTGGAGAACGCGGTCTTCAACGGTGCGAATGATTGGAGAGACTTTGTAATGAGTGTTGTTGGGTGGTTTGGATTTGGTGGTGCGTGTTTGCCTGAGCTTAAATAATGCCATTATTGTGTAAAAATATAGTTTAAATAGTGATTTTTTAAAAAATTTGTAATGTACGTCTAAAATATCTTATTGTATAAATATGATTAAAAATGAGTATTAGAAATAAATTGTTTTGTTTTAAAGAGATTCAAACAAGGTTATTTTCCATACTCATTTTTTAACCACACGTCCTCTAAATATTCGAAAAACATCATTTTTTCTCAATAATTTCCATTGAACAGGAGTTTCACTAAATTTTAGCTCATGTTGACTATCTTTATTTCAAAACTCTTTATTTTTCGTACTCATTTTTAATCATGCATTTCCAAGATAAAATATTTTGTACATAAACCCTACATTTTTTCGTATTTTTTAACCACATATTCTTTATAAAATGAATATTCAAAACATCATTTCCCTCCAATTTTTCTTTATATTGGTCATCAAACACGGTAAATAAGCAAATTTACCATTGTTCAAATTTGAAAATAATAATAAAAAAAAAAAGTTACTGATTTTAAACTAGTATTAATTATGAACTCTAAATTTAGCCCCTCTTTGATAATTTTTATTTCAAAATTCTTTAATTTTCATACTCATTTTCCACAATTTATTTACACAATAAAATATTTTAAATGTAAAATTTAAAAAAATTTCCTACTTTTTAATTATATATTCTCCTTAGTCGCTGAAAATTCATTATTGAGGACAAACAGACACATTCGTATGAAAAAGAAAAGAAAAAGAAAAAGTTATAGAAAGTTGGCCAGATCACCTCCCACATCTCCTTCGTACTTTTTTGTCATTGAGTTGTGCACAAATTTAATACTATTGGTGTTTGGTGGGGATTAAAATTAGATTTTTAGTAAATTTTGATAGAAGTTTTTAAAATGTGTGGTTGAAAAGTCGTGGAATCCATGAAAAATGTGATTAATATTGATTGTTTGACTTTAACTTAAATTAAAATTTGATTTTAATTTATATCAAACAAGACGTTAATTATGCTTTACTATTGAGGGCGAATAAAGCAATAAAGTGGAGATTATTTCCTGGCATGAGATCGCAAAAATTACTATTGCAAGATTTAGCCCCTATTTGTTATTTGAAAACTCTTCAATCAAATATTCACATAATAAAATATTTTGTACGTAAATTCAAAATCTTTTCTTACTTTCTAATCATACATTATCTTAAAATTACTATTCAAAATATTTTTTTAGTCCAATAGTAGCCATCATACATGGCCTTAGTTGTACCATATCCGCTTGAAGAATTTTATTTTTTTTGGAGAATTGCTATTTGTACATCGAGATTGACACTTTGGTGTACACCCCCTCACAATAGGGGGGCCACAACCAATAAAAAATGATTCATGCTACACGAACATAGGGGATGACATAGAGGATGACCGAACACACACGCGCCTCGAGGGTCGGACATTATTTTATTCACGCGGGATCCACTTGCAATGTGAAAGTCTATCACCCGAGGTGTCAATCATTTTCGGGTAAAGTGATTTTACTCATAAAAAAATTTTGTGCCCCTATGTGATGTGGGGTGGGGTGCTGGACCACATAGCGAACCCTTTTATTTTCTTATGGTTAAAGAAAGGTCATTACTTTTTATAAAGGACAAACGCGTTAATACGTAGTATTTAAGTTGGAAGATAGTGGAAATGAGACACCGTGAATTGAATTGGCCAAAAGGCTTCGTTCTTGACATGGGAAATGGCAAATGATAAAGGACACAAGAACACGACAAAAGGCTTTAACTAATTTTAAGGTTTAATTAGTTGTTTATTGTTTAGGTTAGAAAAAAAAGCCTAAAATAAATACTTTATCACGTGTTTTATTTTTTTTGTAAATTTAACTATGTATTCCACATGTTTAAATTAGAAATTCGATAATTTGATACAAAAAGAAAAAAAATAATAGAAGGCCTCGCGTGATCGAGTACATTATTTAGATAATATGATCCATTCATTTATTTATTTATCTTTCGTCATTGTGAAATATTTTTACAATCTCTTAACAAAATCGTTATATAAAAGTATAAATTAATCTTCAATATATACATGTCATTTATTTTTTTAAAATAAAGTCAAACTACATCCAAATTTAGATTTCTTTATTAATTTGTCGAGTCACTTCTTCTAACATAGTTTATAAATCTAGACAAAGTTTTAAATATTTGTTTACTTTTTATACGCCAAATTAGCATAACAGAGCCCTTATCAGCTTGTATTGGAGATAATTATTTTTAAACACCATCTATTTTTCCTTATGTGACGCGATTTTTTTAGAAGGAATCTAAATTATATTGGAGATGCTCTTATAATCATTTAGCTTTATCAGAACGTTCATTCCAACTTTATTAAAAATATTATTCAATTAAACTAGAAGGTAAAGTTGATCAACTCGACGAGCTTGGAGAGTTGGACAAATTGGCCAACTATATAAAAAGTATTCAAAAGCACATTTTCATAACCAAAAAGATATAAATTATTCATTCAAAACCCACTACATAAAACTTTTGGGAACAACATTTTTGGATATGAATAACTTTACTCGTACACAAGGAGTTATATAAAGTTTTATAGATGGATGAGTTATCAAGAAGAGAGTGGATAATTAATTATTAATTTATTTTGTTGGAAAAATTTTGACCTAATTATCTCTCATCATATCACGTGTATGTAAATTAATCCGTAAGTGGTGATACAACCATGTTGGTGATACAGTCAAAAAAAGCTTTTGGGCTGTCCATGGGCTTCAAGAAAATGGACCCAATTCAAATTCTCCTGACTTACCAGGCTATCAGCCCATTTCCCTTGAACGCCACGTGAATGTCAATTCAATAATCCTTGATTTTTCATTTTGAAAGTATCCACAAATAGGTTCGAATCTTGTCATTTTGCCTAATCCGAGGCTCGGAACCGAACCACCATTCAAACACAAATCCGAACCTCTGATTTCGCCATCACACTGGAACGATAGCTTTATTCTCGCACTATTCACTCCCATTCAAACCTCCGTATCTCAGCCCTCTACTCGTTCTATCTCCATTTTCTGCCGTCAGATGATTTGACAAATATAAATCCAGAAGAGTTGGATTTGAATTTATTCCTGCTTACGTTGTCACTTCGTCTCTCTCCCACCCAACTCTCGAATTCCCTCGTGTTCATATTCTTTCTCTATAATCACGGTTTTTTTCTCGATTTGTACCTATTTTTGATCGAATTGCTTGCTAAAGCTTGATGTATTTCGTGTTTTTGTAATGAGAATCCCTGGAGTTGGATTCAGCAAGTGTGTTCCTCTCTCTCTCTCTCTCTCTCTCTCTCTCTATACATACACACAACTATTATGTATATATGCATCTGCGTGCGTAGATGTGTGCATATATGGAGTAGTTTTTAGTGGCTGGAATCAGTTTGAACTGTGAAGTTTCATAGCTGTCAACTGTGCTGAGGTTTAGTAGTGGTATAATATAATATTCCATATAAACACGAGGAATATTTTTCGTCGTTATTTGCATTCTGAAGTTCAAAATTCAAATTGAAATATTGGACTTGAGTAAAAAGGTGTCAACTTTAGTGAAATATATAAAATAACGTAATTAATTATTTTCAATTGAATTGTTCGTCAGAGTGTATTAAATGCTGTACGCAAGGGGTCACATGCAGTGCGTGATACGTATGGGGACAGCTTTGATCCATTGCAAGGGGAGATTGAGCACCTAAATTAAATTCCTAGTCCTGATTCAGTGCATCTGGGGAGCATCAAAGAAATTCGAACTTCTGCTGTTCTGGAATTTTTATCGAATTGATGATGTCTGTGGCGGAGAAGCCAACGGCATCCTCGACGGTTACCGTGGTACGTAGGGAGGTGGATCCGTTGCTGAAGGATCTGAATGAGAAGAAGCAGAGCTTCAGGCGGAACGTGGCTTCATTAGCGTCGGAGCTCAAGGAGGTTCGCAAACGCCTTGCTTTACAAGAGCAGTCTTTTTCTCGCGAAACCCTTACTAGACAGGTACGACAAAAATTCATATTTGCCTCTTTGTGTTTGTGATTTTTATGCAACAAAGTCATAAATTATGCTTATGTTCTGCTCCATTAAATTTTAATACATTTTTCTCCATCCTTTTATCAATCATACATCCTGTCGATAAAATATTTTACGTTAACTTAAAAATTCTACCTACTTTTTAACAGCTTTCCTCCGTAAACACTACTCTAAAATCAATTTTTTTTTCAAACAATGAAGCTCAAACAAGGGCATAATAAATAATGTGTTTTGGGAAGTGAGATGAGATCAAATGATTTCTACCTTTTGTTTTTCATTTTAAAGGTGAGTAATGAGCGTGCGCCACTCATTGTTTTCGAAAATGTTGTATCTTTGAGAGAGTTGATTTGTTTTTGTTTATTGTTTATAACAGGAAGCAGAAACCAAAGCGAAAATCATGGAAAAAGAAATTAACAGATTGCAGAAAAGCTTAGAGGAGAGAAATGTCCAGCTTCAGGAGTCAACATCTGCTGCTGAGATGGTACGTTATGACAATCCTTTTCTTTGAATGCTTGCCAAGCGAAAATCATGGAAAAAGAAATTGAATTATTCTAACAGGGCCTACGTGGCCTTGTTCATCTAGCGAAACTCAAAGAAATTAGTAGATTGCAGAAAAGCTTAGTTCTATGGTTTTTTCTTTTCTATTTACTTTTCCATAAAGGTTTTAAGTTTCGTTGTTTTTGCTTGTTTGGGTAATGCAATTATGTGACCTTACGAAGTTCGGATCTAACCTTTATTTTGGTTTTTAGGGATTTAATATTTATTTGTAGAGATCCACCATAATCAAACACTTCTGTTACTACTTCTATTGGGGGCGTCCTTGTCGAATTTTCATTTTCTTTTGATGGGTGATGTGGTGAATAGGAATATTAATGAAAATATTGTTATATATTATTGTCTCATTTAAAATGGTTATGTAACTTGAATTGTTCGAGGAAATTGTCTCCTTATAGTTGGCATTTAAAGCTAGCAAAACGGGAATCTTGGACATTTACTGATGGAACCATTTATTGATGGGTTGAATGGTCTTCAGTTAACACTTTGTCAAGCAATATTTGTTTCTTCATTCTTGCCTTTTTCCAGTTTGCTATTCAAATACATGTACATGTCCTTTTAGACATCCTTATTTTCCTCACAATCTTATTATTTGTGTCAGATAACAGGTAACAAATAGAAGGGAATAAAGATGGTAAAGTTTTTATGTGACTTGAGACATATGCTGCACAAGTTGGCATATTGGTACTTTTCACACTAAAAAAAGAGTTTCAAGGAAATTGATTGATTTTCAGCTCCAAATACATGCATTGTTCTATGTTAATTATGCTTTTGAGATTTAATTTGTAGAAAAAGCTAATTTTGCCATTTTAATGATGGCTGGACCAATTACTGCCTAATTTCCATAGTTCATACGGTCTTATATTAGTTAATTAATTTAGTCCAAATTTTATTAGGAATTTTAGGAAGTCTTAAATCTTAGTCAACGTACCGTTGCTTGACTCTTTAGTTTCCTAATGTTTTATCACCTGTCCTGATGACAGTATTAGGAAATCCAACAGTCTATAGATATGTATTTCTCAAGTGAATCACCAATGAAAATGTGATATTGCATAGTTGAAACTTGCCGAACTTATGCAAGGGGTTGAAGCTCTCTTGTTTCTTCATCCTCCCATATCACTATTCTTGAGTAACATTCACAAGAGCCTAAAACATCACAAAAACTCACTAAATCCTTTTCTTTTCACTGGAAACTTGTACTTGACCCATTATTTAGCTATGTGGCAATGCAATTCACATAAAACCCCTCCACAAGATCCACCATAGGAGGCTCTATGGGACTTTTTAAAAGCTATCCTATATTAAGTTCATCCTATGCTAGCACCTGATGTTCTGATCATCTTGTGCTACTCATCGTGGGAAAACATGTTGCTTCCAGTCACATTTAGAACTTGCAGAGCATTTCTCTCTTCACTTCAGAAACTATGTATATTAGTTCTTCAGGAGCCCCGTATAACTAGAGTGTAAACTAAATATAAGGTGAATATTATGTGGGCTTGTAAATGAGGAAAGACTAAGACTGGATTGACACAGGGCTTGGCGGGATCATTTCTTCTACAGACATATCAACTAGTTGAACTGTTGGTTCATAATAGTAACTGCGGGATGCTAATAATAAAAATGAAGAAAGATGCAACATCCCAGAGATCTATTTTAAATTTCTCAAAAAATAGCACCTTGTTATTTATGGTATTTCAATCTAATCAATGAAAAAGGTATTAATAACAATGATGTCTGTGTAAGAAAAAAGTTTCGGGTTTACGGGTAAAATATTTTATTGTGTGAATGTGTAGTTGAAAATGAGTTTGAGGAAAAAAATAGTTTTGATTTAATGGATGTCAAAGAGGGGCTAAGATGTCAAATGACTGAAACATTATCTGTTTGTTTGTTTATTTATTTATTTTAAATTCTTTTCATTTTAATGTATTTTTCCCACTAATGACTTCGCACTTATAAAATTTTCCGTGCTTATTTTTATTAATGATGAAACGCAGTTCAACAAGGAACTGGATGATATGAGATCAGAGCTTTCAGCAACTAAAGCTACTGCAGATGCAAGTGCACAGTCTGCTCAATCTTCAGAATTACAGTGTTTGGCACTTCTGAAAGAATTAGAAGAGAAGAATTTCTCTTTAAAGGAGCATGAGGTTCGTGTGAATAAACTGGGAGAAAAAATAGATATTCTTCAGAAGAATCTTCAAGCTAGGGATCATTCCCAAATGCAACTGAAAGATGAAGTCATGAGAATAGAGCAGGAGATCATGCAAGCATTAGCTAAGGCTGGAGCGAATAAAGATTGTGAGCTTAGGAAAATATTAGATGAGGTTTCCCCTAAGAATATTGAAAAGATGAATAAGCTTTTGACGGTAAAGGATGAAGAAGTAGCTAAGCTGAGAGATGAAATAAGGATTATGTCTGCTCATTGGAAGCTTAAAACTAATGAGTTGGAATCTCAGGTTTGTTTATCTTAACGTGGTCCTTTATAGTAGCAACTCTAAAGTTAGTTCTGTGATTACCTGCAGTCTTTTCTATGCAGTTAACGATTAGTGTGTTGTTTGTTTGACAGTTAGAGAAGCATCATAGAGCAGATAAGGAGTTGAAAAAGAAAGTTTTGAAATTAGAGTTTTGTCTTCAAGAAGCTCGTGCTCAAACTCGCAAGCTCCAAAGAGTAACACTCTCTGTCTCGTGTTACTAGCATAGTATAGGTTTCTTGATGCAACCATTAGTCTACTTGCTAGATATGTTTGTTTTCAGAATTTGTGTTACTGCAAGACAATACTGGCCTACTGTTCATTGCAATTGTTAATCTTGTTGGTTCACCTACATTTCTTGCTGCCATTGCTTTGATGGTGTAATATAATTCCAGATACATTTTGTCAGAAAATGACTCTTTCAATTAGAACTTTTTGTGCATGAATGCTAAGTGGTATTGGACCTTTTGGACAGTACAACAGAAAACCTTTAAAGTTTCTTGTTCTGCTTCAGTACTGTCTAATCCAGTTTCCCAAACATACGACTTTGTGATATTCCCAGCTGATACATTCTGCAAGGCCGTATGCCATCTACCCGTCAATGCCCTCTCAAAGAAAATTAATACTTGTTCAAAGAAAACCAAATTTGAGGCTTGTTGACTATAGTTGATAAATTGCCTGCACAATCATGAAAGCGCTATGAAATTTATCGATTAAATAACACGTTTACAGAGTAATTATTGGTGAAATCCATGACATTTATGTTGTTACTTATTGCATTATTCTTTCTTGGTGATCATATTAATAACTATTTCAATTGTTAATTCGTTCCTCAGATGGGAGAGCGAAGCGATAAAGTTTTGGAAGAACTCAGAGATCAACTGGCAGCAAAACAATCCATGAATACTGAAAAGGAGAACTACTGGGAGACACCCAGTTTCAAAATTGTGGCTTCGATGTCAATGTTGATCTTGGTAATATTCTCGAAGCGGTAAGGTTATTGTGTTATTTAATATTTTATACGGTATTGACATTGTACAATAGAATTAGATGATGGGGAGGTCAAGCTGAGCGAGCATATAGGGTATCAGCAGATTTTGCTCCTTTGTAAAAATGTACATTCTAGGTCTTTTCTTTCCATTGTCATCAGACAGCAAAACCCTATTTTATGCCTCAAATATTAGAATGAAGCAGGAATTAATTGTATGGCCGAAATTTTTAGAAGAAAAATATAGGATTTTATTATGTTGCTACATTATGAGCATTGCATTATAACCTCTTGGAAACCCCCCCCCCCCCCCCCCCCCCCCC